TACGTGACGTAAGCAGGAAGAGTACGTTGTCAGAAGCGTCCCATCATTCCTGTTCAGCGTATGTACAGTCGTCTGTATCCGGATTCCAAATGCAGGCATAATGCAAGCTTCTTTTAGGTGCGGAGCATTTTATAGTCACACCCTACTCAGCAAATCCAGCTTTGGCAGGGGTGTCTATACCTATACCGTGCATACTTGCGTCTCGCATCTCGTGCCCACTGTTGCCCCCCCCCCCCATCTGTCGCCTCACAAGACCGATGCTGGCAGCGTCTGCTTGTAAAAAAGCTGGCTGCTCGTGCTGCACAACCGTTCACTGGCCGCCGCCGTATGTGTAGGCAATGAATCGGGCATTCGTAATTCAGTCGAGGGCGCCATTACTTGGCTTTCGCTTGACTTGACACTTTTCACAACTCGAATACATGCGATGAAAGCAACAGTACCCTCAACCAGCAGTGGGGCACAACCTAACATCAGTGTCCCACCACTCCTTGAAGGCAACGCTTCTCCTTCGTTCAATAAATACAAATAATAAAAACGAAAAAACAATTCAGCATTCTCAAACCTTACCCAATTATGCATTATTCACGCGGTATCCCACCACTCTGTGACGCATTTACGTGAGTCCTCCCCCCCCCCCTGTGGCAAGATGCGGGTTTTTTCTTTGTCCAGAACACACGCGTTTGACCAGTCTATTCGTGGTCTGTAGATTCCGCGTGTTCCGTGAGGGCAGTCGAGGCCACACGTTGTTTCGTGGTGTCATATTTGTGTTTAACTCTTTTCTTGAAATCACCAGTTTCACCGATGTACTGGTTGTCACAGTTGTGGCCGCCTATGGCATAAACAAATCCAAGGAAATCTCTGCTCGGCAACTTCTCCTTCACATTGGCTAAAGCATTCCTTAGCTTCCACATTGGCTCATGCACTATTTTGATGTGTGTTGCTTCTAGATATCACACAGCCTATCTGACTTTTGAACCACAACACTACTCACGTCTTTAAATTTATGCATGTTTGTCTAAGACACGATTTCGGCTCGACTTCAAGGCCGCCTGGTTTGTTTAGGCTACAACTGCCGTCAGCAGAAGCTTGCCTGGCTACTCATGGATTTATTAATATATATTATTATTATTATTATTATTATTATTCGTGATGCAACAGCAAACGTCCTCAGCTACACACTTGATGCTGGTGACTCGTGTTATTTTTATTTTCATTTTTTATTTGAAATACTTTACAGGTTCTATTACGGAGCATAGAGTAAGAGGGGTACATAGGAAGAATGCTAGTAGGTGATACTTCTGCCACAATACAAAGCAACTATAAAAATCAACTACAGAGCAACTACTAACTAATAATAATACAAGGCAAGTAATAACATTGGAACTAATAACAGTGGTTGCAAAAATGACAAGGAGGGGCTTAAAGTATCAACAAGAAATTCCCATCCGAAAAACAGCACAAAGCACAAAAACAGAATTCAAGGAGGTTGTACAAAGCTGGTGCAGTGATGACGTAGTGGTTAGAGCATCCGCCTCAGCAATGCAAAAAGTTTGTGGTTCAAATCCCGGTGCCGCGCAGTTCCCAACCGGATAAAGAAAATCCGTGTGGTGATGGAACTACATTATAAGGCCTGGGGAGCGGCCTCACCGGTAACCACCGCCGAGAACGCACTCCCTCACCAGAGAAAGATTGGCCACCCTGGTGCAGTATCTGGCCACTACCTCCCCCATGCATACGTCAAAAAACTCACGGCCCTCAGTCCCTAGCAGCTGCGAAGCAACTGACCACGGCAGTGATCAGATCTGCAACACAGCAGAGGGTGCTAAGAATCTCTGGCTTCAGACAGGCCGCCATTAAAACCTGAACTTGGCAACGTTTAACGCTAGAACCTTATCTGGTGAGGGAAGTCTAGCTCTACTATTCGAGGAGCTAGATGGTGTTAAATGGGATATAATAGGGCTCAGTGAGGTTACGAGGACAGATGAGGCCTATACGGTGCTACAGAATGGGCAGGTCCTTTGCTATCAGGGCTTGGCTGACAGAAGAGAACTGGCTGTGGGGTTTCTAATTCACAGAAACATAGCTGGCAACATAGAGGAATACTATAGAATTAATGAAATAGTGGTAGGTATCGTAATTAAACCGAATAAAAGATACAAGATGATGGTGGTACTGTCTTACGCGCCCCCATCCAGCCATGATGACGTTTCAGTTGAAAGCTTCTATGAAGACGTGGAATCGGCAATGAGTAAAGTAAAAACACAGTATACTATACTTATTGGAGACTTTAATGCAAAGGTAGGGAAGAAGCAGGCTGGAGACCAGGCAGTAGGAGATTGTGGCATCGGTACTAGAAACGTCAGAGGAGAGCTACTAGAAGAATTCGCAGAACGCAATAATTCACGGATTTTGAATACCTTCTACCCAAAACGAGGAAACCACAAGTGGACATGGAGGAGACCTAATGGCGAAAATAAGAACGAAATAGACTTTATAATGAGTGCACACCCAGGCATCGTGCAGGATGTTGAAGTGGTTGGCAAGGTACGATGCAGTGACCACAGAATGGTGCGGTCTCGCTTTCGCCTACACTTGAAGAAGGAACGACAGAAACTGATACGCCAGGAGCCAATCAATGAGCTAGCACTGAAAGGGAAAGTACAGGAATTCAGAGTATCGCTTCAGAATAGGTACTTGGCTCTTAGTGAGGAAATCAAGCTTAGCGTAGAGACAATGAAGGATAATCTGACGAGTGTCATTACGGAGTGTGCAGTGGAAGTCGGAGGCAGGATAGTTAGACAGGACACTGACAAGCTTTCCGAGGAAACGAAAAATCTCATTAAGAAGCGTCAAATCATGATAGTCTCAAGTACAACAGACAAAATAGAACTGGCAGAGCTTTCAATGTTGATTAATAGGCGTAAGGTATGCGATGTAAGAAGGTATACCATGGGGAGAATTGAACACGCTCTGAAGAACGGAGGTAGCGTAAGCAGTGAAGAGGGAACTTTGGATGACAAAAATCGAATGTAAGCACTAAGGGACAAAGAAGGCAAAATAACTACCAATATGCATAGGATAGTTAAAATAGCGGAGGAGTTTTACAGAGATCTGTACAGTAGCCGGGATAACCACTACTTCAATACTATAAGAACTAGCAGTAACCCAGATGACACCCCACCAGTAATGATAGAAGTCAAAAAAGCTTTGGATAGCATGCGAAGAGGCAAAGCTGCTGGTGAGGATCAGGTAACATGCTGAAAGATGGAGGACAGATTGTATTAGAAAAACTAGCCACCCTGTTTACGAGGTGTCTCCTGACGGGAAGAGTACCAGACTCGTGGAAGAACTCTAGCATCATCTTAATAAATAAGAAAGGAGATGACAAGGACTTGAAGAACTACAGGCCGATTAGCTTGCTCTCTGTAGTATACAAGCTATTTACAGAGGTAATTGCTAACAGAGTAAAGAAAACATTAGAATTCAATCAACCAAAGAAACAAGCAGGATTTCGAACAGGCTACTCAACAATCGACCACATTCATACTATAAATCAGGTAAAAGAAGAATGCTCAGTATATAACCAACCACTATACATAGCATTCATAGATTACGAGAAGGCGTTTGATTCAGTAGAAATATCAGCAGTCATGCAGATACGGCGTAATCAGGGCGTTGATGAAGCATATATAACCAGTCTGAAAGAAATCTACAGGGGATCAACTGCTACCTTAATGCTTCATAAAGAAAGCAACAGAATACCAATCAAAAAGGGTCTAAGGCAGGGGGACATATTCTCCCCAATGCTATTTACCGCGTGCTTACAGAAGGTTAGGTAGGCAGATGAGATGAACAAGTTTGCGGGTATAAATTGGCAGCAGCAAGCACAGGACCGGGTTATTTGGCGGAACATCGGAGAGGCCTTTGTCCTGCAGTGGACGTAGTCAGGCTGATGATGATGATGATGATGATTATGATGTGGGTTCAGTGTTGAGGCATGATGAGCTTGCAGCAGTTCGCGGTGCACTTCGAAGTATTTAACAAAAGTCGCCACTAACATTAAGCATGCTAATCAGCCCTGCAGTGTGTTACATGAGCTTCACGTCATGGTGCACAATACGCAAGTAACATTGCATTTAAAAAGGCTATATGCACTTAGAAAACGATGGACACGACTTGATTTTTCAGTAGCTTCCAGAACACTGTGGCATCAACGGAAACGGATATGCTGGCGATTCTGAGAGGAAGCGTCATGTAACTGGCGTGAAAGGAGCTACTTCAGCACGAAGAGCCCGTGGAGCATTAAAGGTTCGCTTGCTCGAGCATGATATAACACACTCACTGTAGTATACACTGAAATTAGTGCATACCCGTCTTTACCATCTGAATCCGCCTATTCGACTTGAATATCCTTCCGCACTAACCCGATGCAAAAAGCAGTCCTCTACCGCATGTAGATTTCTGCAACCCATTTCTGCAACACATTTCTGAGTTATATGGAATAGTACAACTATTCGCGCATGAAGTTTCAGGACTCACGTGACTCAAGATCATTGCTTCAATTGCTTTTCTTCTTTCCTTAGCCCATCAGCGCCCTGCGAGCTACGCATGTAGGGTTACTGCGGTTACAGGTCACTTACTGCGGTTACAAATTACTGTGGTTACAGGTCACCCATTAGCGACAACATGATGTTCGCTGTAATGGCAACATGAGTAAAACCATTAGTATACTATTTGTAATAGTCATAAAACCTGGTAAGGATCTGCTTCGTACAGTACAATGAAATAACAACAAAAAAGAGCATGCTGGTATATATACATAGAACCATGCAGGCTTTAATAACGTAGCTCACAGATGCAAAGCACAACAAATTTATCTAAGCTTTTCAAAGGCACGATACCACAGGAGTGGAAACTCGCCAATGTAATTTTTATTCCTAAACCGGGTAAAAAACTCCGTTTCGAGAATATTAGGCCGATATCGTTAACGTCTTGCGTAGGTAAGCTCATGGAGCATGACGTTCAGACGCGGCTCAATAGGTGCATGGAAGACAATGGTATGTATCCGGACACCATGACCGGTTTTCGACCCCGACTATCAGCGTGCGACGTGATGCTACAGCTCAAGGACCAAATTATGGACAAGCCAACGCGAGACACAAAAGTTATCGAGGGGTTAGATGTGACAAAAGCATCTGACAACGTGAGGCACGTATCGATCTTGGAGAATCTGAGCTCCCTGAACGTCGGAAAGCGAGTTTATGACTACGTCAAGGACTTCCTTTCGAAGAGGACAGCCACTTTAAAAATCGGGGAAGAATCCATCGAGGTCAATAAATTAGGCAATAAGGGGGCACCTCAGGGCTCGGTGATATCACCCACCCTTTTCAAGATTGTGATGTTGAAACTGCCTGAACAGTTAAAGGCTATTGAGAATTTAAATCACACCATTTACGCGGACGACATAACATTATGGATGAACAAGGGCAGTGAAGGCCAAATTGAAGGCTCTCTGCAAATTGCCATTGATAAAATCATAGAGTACCTGGAGCCCAAAGGGCTTAAATGCTCGGCCGAAAAGTCGGAACCACTCTTACTCATGCCCGCCGGAAAACGGCGGCTCCACAACACGCCTGAAGTGGACATCCACTTGTATGTTAACGGCACAGAATTCCCCGTGGTTGACAGTATCCGTGTCCTTGGACTAAGGATTCAGGCGAACCGTAAAAATTCTGAAACTCTTGCTAGGTTGGAAGCCAGTTCTAATCAGACATGTCATCTCATCAGACGAATAGCAAACAGGCATGCTTGTATGAAGGAGGCGAACCTTCTTACATTAGTGCAGACCTTCATAATAAGTAAGATAGTGTACGTGGCACCTTATTTAAAATTAAACCAGGCGGAGCGGGGCAAACTCGACACCATTATCAGGAAAAGTGTGAAAGTCGCGCTCGGACTTCCCCAAAACACGTCAACTGACAAACTTATGAAGTTGGGGGTATCTAACACACTCGATGAGCTAATTGAGGCTACTGTGACTGCACAACATCAAAGACTACTTGGATCTAAAACGGGGAGAGCAATATTACAGAGGTTAGGCTATGAGCCCACGCGTGAACAAGCGCGTTCAAAAGACGTACCGATACAGATCAGGGACAGGATAAAGATACCTCCACTACCCCGAAATATGAACCCTACCTTTCACGAAGGCAGGCGTAAAGCCAGGGCAAAGGCATTTCAATCTAGATACACCGGTCGACAGGACGTCGCGTATACAGACGCTGCGGAATATGGAAGCAAAGCGGCACACACGGCAGTGGCGGTCAGGGAAGATGGTGGCCTGATTGCGTGCAGCACAGTCCTTGGTGTCGAGACTGTAGAGGCCGAGGAAGTGGCCATAGCTTTGGCCATCAGCCAAAAGGGAATCAGGGTGGTCATCAGCGACTCCAAAAACGCTGTGAGAAATTATGAATCGGGAAGGGTGACGAAGACTGCCGTCCGTATATTGAACATGGTAGGAGTACCCAAAGAGCAGGTTCTGCTTGTCTGGGCTCCAGCTCACCAAGGACTTAGAGGGAACGAGGAGGCTCATTCTCTCGCCCGAGGTCTCACCGACCGGTCGACTCCTGGAACCTCCCAAGTTACCGAACAAAGAAGCGAGTATATGCGCACATACCATGAAATCGTCGCACACTACAGGCTGAATCGGCAAGTATACCCGAAAGCGGACAACTCACTAAGTAAGAAAAACGAGGTTTTGTGGCGAAAGTCCAAGACCGGGGTTTTTCCAAACCCCGCACTTTAGAGCAAGTGGCACCCCGCAGTTTTTCAGTCCCAGTGTAAATTTTGTGATGAGGTAGCGAATTTGGTCCACATGGTGGGGACATGTCCAAGTCAAAACGATGGTTCTCACACTGTAGAATCCTGGGAGGCCCTGCTCTGCAGCCCAGATCCCAACGTCCAGCGCGACATCATCAGTGAAGCCCTTGCTGCTGCCACGTCCCAAGGAATTCCGGCCGACAGCTAGGGGCGACGGGCAATGCCTGAACAATTGACTGACTTTTTAATAAAGTTTCTCTCTCTCTCTCTTCAAAGTCATTAAATGAGGATTACGTTAAAAAGGCACTAATATGTTCATGCCGCATAAAAAAACAGCGTTTTGTAAGACTTAATGCACTATACAAAAATTAAACGACTCTTAAGCTTCACCTGTAAAAGTTGAACGCGATTGTAATATATCCACACGCATACGCGCACGCAAGCACGCACGCACGTACACGCACACGCACACGCGAATGGTCACCGTTTAAATCCCTAGCCTGCCCTCAACTCTCCATTTTCTGTGTAGACCTAAAGTGTGCCGCGAAAAGAAACCTCCGGCTACAATGTTTATCACGTCAACCTTTTATTTTGGCTAACGGCCCACATTGCTTTTTCACTTACAACCAAAGACATCGGCGCCAGCACCACCACAAACACCGAAAATTTCTGCAAAGCGAGGTCTTCGATGCCATCACGTTAAGTGGAGAGGACCCTGAGCCTTGACCAAAAGAAACACTGACACGACTGGAAGAGGTCACGAAAGGAACATTTATCGTTTCCTTGATACGCAGTGTCATCAATCTCCACACACCAGAGTTAGGTAACACGTATAAAATATTTTTACACCTATAAAATATTTTATTTTAATTTTAAAGTTTTCATCTAGCTCCTTTTCAATGGATAATAATCTGAAGGGTGAAGGCAGTCTCTCAATTTGCGAGCTCTTTGTCCTTCGCGCTTCCAAAATCGCAGAAATTACTCTCAGTGCGACTGGACTACAACGTGCTCTTCGTTGTTTGCGTGCACTACTGATTTGCCACTAGTGCGTTGTAAGTTGCTGTCTTCACGGCTTTGGTTGGGGGTTGCCTTCATAAAATCGTATACAATCCTCGTTGGATTGATCGACACAGCGCAATGCGACGTATGCGGCACCGACATGCGACGGTGCCGCATCAACCATCTGCTTTGCCGTTGCCCTTCATTTGCCTCTGAGATACGAAAGCTTTCTGACGCATTGCGATAACTGGATGATCGCCCACTCTCCGTGCAGAAACTGCTGGAGCACTGTCCTGGTCCTTCGTCGGCTCAAAAGGCAAAGCCTTTGTGCGGTTTTTGAGGGCTACAGGTTTTTGCGAACGCCTTTATATTTTGTGTAGTGCCACCGCTGCATACGCGTCAGCCCACTGACTGACAACTTTTTGTCTCTATTTCTGCTCTTCCCTTTCTCATACCTGTATACTCCCTTTCCCATTCTCCCACGTAAGGTAGAAAAATAGGAGGAAAAGAATGGCAGGGAGGTTAAACAGTATATATAGCGGCCGGTTCGCTACCCTGCGCCTGGGAAGGCGATGGGGGAGATGAAAGATAGAGAAGAGAAAGGGAAGAGGGAAAAACACAGCACATTAAGCAGCACATGCGCGCACAGTCAGTGATAGTCCAGTCCTGTCTTTCGTGGAGTGTGCCACTGCGGTTACAGCCACTCGTTCAAGTCCGTGTCGCGTATAAATTTCAACTGTGCCTTTGTCCCCTTCTGTTGAAATGTCTTCTATCGGGCACTTGAATAAATAGTGTCCACGTACATTTGGCTGTTGTCGATGCACGCAAGAACGGACGCCAGTGACTCTCTCTGGATGTCATAGAATGTACAGTCGCACAGGGTGTGGTGTAACGTCCCTTCGCGACGGCAGGCATCGCATAGAGCGTTGTCGGCCCTTCGTATGATAAATGAATACGTTTTTGTAAATGCCACCCCTAGCCATAAGCGATGAAGAAGGGTGGCTTCTCTTCAGTCGAGCCCAGGGGTCATGCGAAAAGCCATCAAAGAGCACAGATTTGCTACCCCAACGTACGGTAGCAAACCGGGCATGTGCTTGGTTAACCTCCCTGCCTTCACTCTTGTTGTCCTTGTCCTGTCTTCACATGACGTTACACTGGTCTGACACGTCTCTGAAAAGCCAGTCTCTTGATATCGAAGCCGGAAATGTGTTTTCAAGATAAAGGTAACAAAATATATTGGTCGCATTATAAAATACAACGGTAGTCGTTTTAGGTTTCTCAACATCAGCTTTTTTTTAATTTCAAACACAATTCTGAAATTTTAAAAGTTTGTACACTCTTTAGGTGTGTGGTGTCTTTCTTGGCTTTACCTTGGGTATATAGCAATGCTGAAACGTATTTAAAAAGTCCCCTTTCTGTTGTGGCAGGCAGCGCAGCGATCCCAGCTGAAAAGCAAACTAGACGTAGTCTAGTTATCCTCTCTACCTTTCCTATCTGGTATTCCTTCTCTTTCTTTAATTCAGAAGAAATAGAACAGAGGAATAGAAGAAAGAAAAGGAATGCCGGATAGGAAAGGTAAAGAGGATAAGTAGACTACGTCTAGTTGGCTATCCTACACATGGGGAGGGGGAAATAAGGGAGTAAAAAAGAGAGGACAGAAACCTGTATTGTTCATCCTGGAACATTGCCAGCCCATATCGTCTCCGGTTACAGAGTCATTCGCCACTGTTTATTAAATATCTTAGTGGCATGTAATGCGTCTAATTGCATCTAATCAGCCATAGGGTAGTGATTATTAGGAAGGAGAATTACATGTTAATTCGTGGGAACAGTAATGAAGTCGCACGGTCATCGTTGCCCCAGTGAAGAGGTACGTATCAGTCGAATTAATGTGAGACAAAAATATTGGAATGTCTATTCAGTGTAGCGCTCATCAGCAGAAAGTGAATGACATATAACAAAAAATACAACAGTTATACATGGTACTTTGTGTTCTAAACCAACTCGCTGCTGTTATGCAAACTGCACCCAAAGCCTTACGTAACGTGAGCTCCACAGCAAATTTTCGCTCTCTCAGTGAACGGGCACTTCTAACCCAGCAGATTATTTGGGTAGGTCGCAAGGACTACTACATACATGCTGGCACATTCATTTAAACTCTATCTTCTCAGACAAGGCGCGAATATAACTTTCTTAGAAGGTCCATGCTCTGATAATGTTGGGGGACTGAGGTGTTTCAGGTACAAGAACAAAAAGTTAGAGCAGCACAACAGTATAGTCCCTATTTCCTGTCCCACTTTTATTGCTGTGCTTGTTCCTCTCTTGTGGAGTAACGAGAGCGAAACAGTAGCTTCTAGAGGAGTTGGCTTTACACGAAACTAGCACTTAGTACAAAAACTCCACGTGACTCAAAAACAAAATTCATAAGGGTAAATATAAAAACGGTAGACAGAGTTTTCAGCTTTGGTTATCAGAGAGAGAGAGAAAGATAAAGATGCAAGGAAAGGCAGGGAGGTTAACCAGACTCACATCCGGTTTGCTACCCTGCACTGGGGAAAGCATGAAGGGGAGAAAAAAGGTTGCAGAGAGATGAGAAGGTACACACAATCACGAGCACACTCGGGGAGCACACACAGTCCACAGGCGGTCGCTCAGGTTTGTTGACATTAAGTAAAGTAAAATTATCAGGCTATCTTTTATACCTTTGTGCTAACATGAACGCATAATGTCAGCACAGCTGAGTGGACACCTCTATACAATGCTGACTACTGCACAGCAGCTTTACAATAATATTCGCAATATTATCATTCGTAAAGTATGGCCCGCTAGCTTTGAAACACAACTTGGATACCCAAACGATAGCGTACCA